CCACACGATTGCGCAGTCAGACGAGGTTAGTAGCCCAGTTGCACTCCCACACTCGGGCATAGGAAAACGACGAAGGCATAATAGCCAGGGGATAAAGGAAAACAATGGTGATTCCCTCCGTGGTTAACTTGGCGGAAGGTGAACACAGAAAAAAAAAAGGAGCGATGGTAGGGAGGAACAAATGCATATAATTTTGGTTTTACCAAGGACGTGACCACGTCGGAGAGATATGCGGTCATTGCTGCTAGGGAAAAGGGCGGTCTAGTCGTTATGCTGCCGAAATGAGAGGCTTAAGGAGAGGAAAGGGGGATAGACCACTGTCCTGTTTATATCCCCGGACGCGATCTCTTCTCGTTGTTACCTTAGGTAGATAATCATTGCTGAATGGATGGCATTGGTCCCCAGACGAACGTTACTTCTGAAATGCGAAATTTTATTACTTTTTCAAGATGCTGTGATGTAACTTGCTGCTGTGTAAACTTGATATTTTCATCTCTATCTTTAGTGGTGACTACCTACCTAGGTAGGTAAGAATTATTGTGCAAGTAGTGCTCTTTGCCTTGTGGTAGTCTGTAGTCTTTGAATAGAGCTGGGGTAGCATATCTAAATAAATATAGGTATTCTCTGGCGAGATATGCAACGCTCTGTCCAGGGCTAACAGAGAAGTAGTCTAACCCCCTTCAAGAAGTAATGGCAGGTGTCTTAAGAACTCAATGCTTATTAGCGTAACTACCCATTGCTCCAGGGTATCATCCGTCTGGCTTTCACGGGGCTACATAAACAACAGGCTAGGCGGAAGGCTTCCTATCCAGTGGGCTAGCGGGGGGCTACGTTAATTAGTTTAGTGGAAAAAACTTTAGCTCGTCTATCCATTCATTCATATGTCTGGATCAAAACCACCGGTTTGGGGTTGTCTAGCAGAACTCCCGCGGGAAGCGCGATAGGCGCGATGTGTCCAGGAGAGGCGATGGAGCGTAGCATGGAAGAGGGAGCTAAGGGAGAGAGAGCCGTAGGGCATTGCGAATAAGGTGGTAGTTACATGGGATTTAAGAGTCCCTAAGAGAATATTCCCGAGGTTAACCAATCTCTCATGCTCGTTCAACTGTGGCGATTTCGAGACTTACAGTACTTGAGTCTTCTTGGCTATAACCCGTCTTATTGCATCTGGTAGAATTAGGTAGGTAGTCTACCAGATCGTGTTATACATCAACATCAACATCATCCATCTACTCCTCTTTGCTTTTCTCGCCTCCCCGTCCCCAGCACCGGGCGTGAGACTAGAAAGTCTGGTCTACTCGACAAACCCCAAAGGGTGCCTTCGCAACCGAGTTTCCCCATCTCATCCGTCTACCCCCGGCGCTACGGGCTAGACTAGCTAAGCTGGGCATCTATCGATGATGTAATGTAATGTCGGGCCAGGTAAGGTAAGGTCAGGTTGAAAGACTGACAGACTGACAGACTGACAGACAGGCAGAGGCGAAGAGCATGGGGACCACGACGTAAGACCACGTATTTGACCCCCAGTCGTATCCATCGCCGCGTATCGTATTTATACGTGTCCGCGCGAAACACCCTGTCTGTCTGTATGTCTGTCAGTCCCGTCGGGCAGCTCGCGCGGAAAAAAAGAAAAAAAAAGGAAAACAAGATAGGCCATTCATTCGCCTGCTTTCCGCCAACACATTACCTAGTCCCCATTCCATTCTCCAATTCCAATTCCGCGAGCGCCGAGGATAACGTCAACTCAACTCGACTTAACCTAACCTAACCTAACATTAGGTACTAGTTAGTTAGAGAGATGATCACTCACTCACTCACTCATTCACGATGGGTCGAAAGATGCAAAAAAAAAGGCATATGGGATAGCCGCATGAGCCGTCCGTCCCTATTGGTTCTTCTATAAATACCTATCTACCTACTCGACGCTTAACAGAAAACGGTTATTATATTTGCCATGTATGTATGTATGTATATAGGTAGGTATGTGTATATTAAACTATTGATTTGACCAAACTAGCTACCTACCTAGGTAACTAACTAACTAACTAACCTAGCTTCTACATACATACATACATCGGCGCCGCACCGGCAAGGGGAGCGAATAGCTAGCGCGCGTCTCATGTATTCCCGCCCGACGGGGGGCCCGGCCGATTCCGGCATGAGACTAAGGCAGGGGGGTTTGGGCCTTCGGGAGGATCGTTAGGGGAAAGCGTGAATGATGTACTCTGTTAGTTACAATAGATAGTCTGACTAGTTAGTTAGTTATTGCTTGGAATAACTACCTAGTTATAGTTAATTCAGAGTTCCATTGCGTACGAAGTAGTACTTGGAACTTGTATTATCTTGCAATGAATAACTAACTAACTATCCAGTAAATTCTACATCTAGTTTAGCTAGGTAGGCATCTTGGAAGAACTCTTGATAAACAAACACTGGTGATTGGTCTCTATGCGTTGTCTACCTATGTATGTATATCACGCCCTTTATGCGGGGGAAGAGCCGTGTCCCGGCCGTCTACTCCACCCGAATTGGACCTTATCACGCCCAGTCGGCGAACCTAGGTATACACTCGCGATATCTTCTACTATTCATCACGTTTAATGCTAAGCATAAGCCATACTTGGAATGAATTATTTTATTAAACCCACCGACCTAACTACCTAAGACACTTGGAAGAAGATCGTATTCCATACAGACGTCAAGACATCATGGCCCCCTCAGCTATTACGGAGACCCTCTCAAGCACCTTGACCCTCAAGGGTGGGGATAAGCCAACAGAGATAATCAAGCATGACGCCACCGAAGGCAAGGAGAAGACTCCTTTAGAGGCTATCTCGCACGGCATGGTGATGCCGGGTATTCCCACATTCCCAACCTACACAGCGCACAGGAGGCACATCCTTGTGCACATGTCCGCCACATTCCGCTTCTTCGCGCGATGCGGCTTCACCGAAGGGCAGTCAGGGTAAGTTGGCTTTGGCTATCATAACCGTAACCATAACCTATAACCCATAACCCATGGCCCTTCCCTGTCGTATTCGAACCCGCAGTGTCTTTTTCCAGGGATGAGCTCAAGTCCTCTCCACTTGGGCTCTGTCGTGACAGCCCAATCTCCAAATCCCTTTCCCCTCGCATAGCTAGCTAGCTAGCTAGCCAGCCAGCTGATCCCCATACTCTCTAGGCATATCTCAGTGCGAGACCCAGAGTTCAACGGCCTCATGTGGATGAACCCTCTAGGTCGACACTTCGGCATGCTGACGGCAGGCGACATGATATGTCTGGACATCGCGACCGGCAAGGTCGTCGGCGGCAACACGTCCCGGCCCGCCAACGCCGCAGGCTACCTGATCCACTCCGCCGTCCACAAGCGGCGTCCGAACGACATCCACGCCATGTAAGTGCTCCCTCTCTCTCTCTCTCTCTCTTTCCCGCTCTCCTCTCCGCTTTCCTTCCGCAGGACCACGTGGGTTTCCTTTGCGGCGCAAAGAAGAAGAAAAATTATGCACGCCTACATAGACGCAGAAGTGAGGCGTTCCTATCTATATCCCCGGCAAGGTGAGATAAGAGAAAAGAAAAGAAAAGAAACACACTAACCAAGACTGAGAACCAACAACCCCGGCTGGGAATCTTCTCATCTAATCTCATCTCTTATTCCATAAGAGGAAAGAAAAAAAAGAAAGAGAGCAAAAAATACCACTGAAAAAGGAAAAAGAAAAGAGAAAAAGTGAGGCTAACCAACCTCTGCCCCAAAAAGCTGCCACGCACACTCCAACGCAGGCCGGGCCTGGAGCGTATTCGCTCGTCCCCTGGAAATGCTGAACCAAGGTACGTAGGAAACAGGCCACACGACAGCCTTACTTACATACTTTACCTCTTTTTCCGCCGACTCCACACTCCACTCTCTCCCATCTCAGCCTACCTATGTTATGTTTGTTTCAAAACCGCTCTCTGCCAGGGCGGAAAAGAAAGAGAACGGTTAGCTCGCTCGCTGAGCGGAGGAGCCCCATCCATCCATCCCTTGGTCCTCCTCACGCTCGCTCACCGTAGCTGAATCAGACCACAATAATACATACATACATATACATACCATAATATGTCCGCGTGCTAACTCCGCGCCTCCTGAACGCCTGCAGACGTGTGTAATTTCTACGACGCCCACGCCGTGTACGCCCGCTACGGGGGCATCGTGTTCGCGGCCGAGGAGGGCGACCACATCGCCGCGGCGCTAGGCGACCGCAACAAAGGCCTCATCCTCATGAACCACGGGCTACTAACCGTCGGCTCCACTGTCGACGAGGCCGGCTTCATGTTCGGCCTGCTGGACCGCGCCTGCGCCATGCAGCTGCAGGTCGAAGCCGCCGCCGCCGCCCCTAACGGCTTCCCGAAGCACGTCATCAGCGACGACGAAGCCGCGTACAACTTCAAGATGGCGAGCGAGGCCAACGCGCTGTACCGCGACGCCCAGCCCGACATCGAGTACGAGCTCGAGGCGGCGGGCGGCGAGGACGCCCTGGCCAGGGGCTTCGAGAACCTGCGGGTGGCGCCGTAAAAGGGCCCTTCTTCGGTCTGGAGCGCTGCGAGATCGTACGTGAAAAAAAAAGAGATGCGACTAGCCGTCGGCGATAAATCACACCTTACCTGCCGATGTCTGCATTGCAGCTGCGAACGGTGATAGGCACGGACATGAGTTTGTGCTCGCTAGCCAACTAGTGTATGTATGAACAGGTAGGGGGGAGTGGGGGGGGGGGGGGGGGGGGGGTTGATAATAAATTGAAAAAACGAAGCGGGGCTAGGGACAAGTAAAACCATAGGATCATTGAGGGTTTAGGGGCGTACGGGGGGGGGGGGAAAGG